AAGTACCAGTTGTCCTTTGAGTAAAAATATAAAACGATGCATTAAAAAGCAAAATTATTAAGACAGTAACTCGCAGACATTAGACATACATTGTTGAATAATCATATGTTAAACTATTATCTAGCTCTTATCGCATACATAATTAAACGATAAATAAAATTAATAACAAAACAACAAGTTGCTCGATTATCAATAAAATATTTTTAACAAAGAAAATTTTAATAAAAAGTAATGAAGGTTCTTTTTGTGTGGATGATATTGATATTTTTATTAATAAACTAATAAAATAATTTTAGTATTGAATTTGTAAGTGTAAATTTTTTGAAGAAAACCAATGGATTTTAAAAGTCAGGCATTAAGTTTTGGAATTCGTCTGCGTCCATATTGTCCTCACCATGCACCATGAGCCATGATCAACCATGAGCAACTTAAATGCCGGAAGATATTTTTAACGTGTATAGTTGTTTCAAAGAAAATATAATATATGTATACATATATACACAAATGCATACTTTTTTTGTATAAAAACGGAACCATCAGTTGTCTTGCTGATACATTGCCAAAAGATTGTTGATTTGTTCATTAAATAACGACAGAGATGATTAGTTAACATGTACATAAAGAGTTGTATAATAAATAAAAAAGCAGAACGAAAAAAAGCCGTGCGGCGAGCTGTAGAGGTAACACGAGGGCGGCGATAACTTATAGACGCCGGTATAATATACTTTAGTGGTTAATAACTCACCAATTATTAATACTTTGAGTTATATTGTTGACGGTTGTATCCGAATATCAATTATTTGTATCACACTCAACTGGGTAATTATTTAAATAAATTTAGTAAAATAATTACAATTACTTCACGTGAGCACGAATGTGTTTTCGTAGGCTCGCTTGCCTGGCAATATGGCGGATTGAGTCGTGACTATACCACGGTGGATTCCGACACATACACAGAAAATACATGGTTTTTTTTAATCTGTGTTGTGTGCTTGAGGATGTTGAGATGTGTGAGTGTATCTTCTTTCTTTTCACAGCGCCGTCTATTGAAATATTTATGTAATACAAGTACATATACCAGGGAGCTTCTGCTACTGGCTACTGCTAACTGCTCCCGTTAAATTGTCAGGGATGACAACGTCGAAAATTTTCATTGTTCTAGGTCATGATTCAAATTAAGTAGGTGTAACTACTAATTATTTTTTAATTTCTTTTTGATTTATGTCATGACTCTAAAATATGAAAATCAAGTTAACTGACATTTCAAAATTTTTAGAAATTTTTTATCGAAAAATTTCAATTAAACAATTAAAAAAAAAATATCACATGTTAAAAACTTGAAAAACTATAAGTGCAATTTTTTATAAATATCTTCTTAGTTTTAATTGAATTAAAAAAAAAAAATCAAAAATTTTTAGACGTCTGTTAACTTCAGTGTCATCCCTAAAATTAAAAAACTTTTAATAATTTTTCTTAAAAAATTAATTATTTATTATTTTACCTTTTTTTTTTTTTTTTGATTAATAGATTTAAAAAAAAATAATTTGATTTATTTTATTCATTTAAGAAATTATAAAAATGTCTTTAAAACTACAACTGTCAAAAATTTTAAAACAAATTATTAATTGTCTAAAATTTAAGAATTAAATATTTTCTTCTACTGATAATTAATTAATCATTAACATTTTTTACCTTGATGTAAGATCGTAAAAATATCTATTCATAATAAAAATTTTAAAATTCAGTTGTCAAAATAAAATATAATTCGATTTGAATTTAGAGCACAAATAAATCAGCCATGAAAAGCCCTCCGCCAATGAGAGTGCAGTACTGGTCCCCCTACTTTTATCACTGGGTATGACAAAGATGCCATTATATATTCCAACGGCTTCGTGCGAGTAACAACAACCGGTGTGTCCGCTGATGATTCACTTTTGTTTTTTGTAATTATTACTAATTGTTTCGCGGTAAATAATACATAAATAATTCGGGGTTAGGCGTCGGTGTCTTTATTTGAATAAATTTTTGCGTGACGCGTATAAGTAACGTAGTTTAAATCCGTTGAATTATGTCCATTGACAGTTAGTAAAAAATTTTTGTAAACAGTCACAGTAAAGTCAGAGTACGTACATTTAAAGTCGTCGGGGAATATTTATTTCAGGAAATTTTCGTATAAATACTCATTTATTTTATTTTTATAGAATTCATCAATAAATATTTTTAAAAATTTATTTATTAGAGCCGCTCGTTTTATTTTTAACAAAGTCATTTCGATGTTCGTTAATAAATTTAATTTTGTTGGAAATTAAGAGTCTTTGCAGTTGACGGTATTAGATACTAAACCGATGTACTGATTCACGTAAGCTTTATTAAATTATGATTTCTTTTTATTTTATCAATTTTTTTTTTTTGTATCACTAACTAATTTTATTTATAAAACACAAAGGAAAAACATTCTGTTTTTTTTTTTTCACTCATGTAAATATAAAAATGCTTATATCAAAAATATCTTATATATTTAAAATAAATTAAAGCGATTTTCTCTTAAATATTTATTATAAACAAAAATTTAATTATCCTTAAGATTAAATTTAAAAAATAAATGGGTAAATTTTTTTTCCCGCTTTTTTGTTTGCTGCGAGTATTACCAAGGCTCGATATACAAAAGTTAAATAACGAATAGTTGATAACAAAGTATTTTTTCTTATCCACAGAAAAGCGCGCCAACTATAGACAGTTGTGCTTAGGACTTCACAAAATGGCCGCATAGCGTTGTAGTGCTTCTGTCCTGTCAGCACGTGTACAGCTGTGCTCCGGATAAACTGCCGAAAAAAGTGAGTAATTTAGAATTTTTATTTAATTATTATTCATGTCTTATATTTCCCAATACATCGCCCTTATAAATATGACAGTCAAGTGGTATAAAGACTCGTACAGTGAGGAGTATTATGAGGAACTCGGTCGTCATAACCATATTTGCAAATTTTTTTAGCGTTACCGCACGTGTATGACACACAACACACTGTTGCTTCGACAATAATTTTTAGTTCAATGTCAGTTTGTGTTAATCAATCCAACCGTGACAAACTTATTTCAGTGGTCTAATTTAGTATGTCCGCGGTTGGTTTGCTGAAAAATCTTACGGTTGTATTTTAAAAGTTTTACGGAGTAATTTCGATATTTAATCAATCTAAAATGGTGTTTACTTGGTCTTGTTTTCTTCTTCGCGCCATTTTATGAAATTTCTATGCTTTGTTATCATTGAATGCTGAGTTTCTATTCAAATGTCAGTATATTTTGATAACGTGAGTTTTTTAAATTTATTTTTTTTATTTAAAATAATCAAAGATTTTTTTCTTTAATAACATTTTCAACTAAACTATTTGAAATTAATCAATTATTTTCAGTAATTTTTTTTTATTTATTTTTTTTAATCATAACTTTACAATTATATTAGTCTAAATCTGATTTCATTAGCCATGAATTCAAATATTTTCTGGATTAGTAATAACTAAAATAAAAATTATTTTGAGTAATCTAAAAAATATTACAATGAGTTATTTTAAAATACTGACTAAGTGATTAAATGACTTGTGACTATAAAAGTGAAAATAAAAGACAAAATTTTAGCCAATGTTGCAAAGATGTTAAAAACAGCATCAACTATAATGAAATGATTCATGAAACTTGAACCGATGTCACAACAAAATAAATTATAACTATATATATGAATAGTAAGGATATGCTAGGTCAGGGTTGTGTAGTAACTAAAATAAACAAAATTCAAGGTGATTTATATTGAAATTAATTAAATTTTTATTTTCTTAAAAAATCTAGTATCATCTACTACCAACTGCATCTCTCTTTACATTTAAATATCACAGGTACTCGTTTCTCTATCACAAGACCCTCTACTCGGTCATTTTTTTATCAACTTTTTTTACAAAAAATGACGATAACAATTTTCAAGGATCTGATGATCGATATTTTGTCGAAAACAATTTTTTTTTTAATTTTTTTAATAACAGACCGAGGCGAGGCACAAGTTTCGGCACTTAAATGATTAATTAACAACATTGCACTCGCTCAATTACATATTTAAAAAAATAATAATAATATCTAATAATAATAATTATAATAATTAATCAATAATATAAAAGAATCTACTTGCGCCGAAACAGTTAAAAAAATCAATTGGTCAATAAAAGTATGAAATTAAACAGTACAATAAAAATGTTGGAGCAAAAAAATATTCTAACTCTAAACCAATAAAAGTAAATTAAAGCTTAACCACTTGGCATATTCATTTGAAATATAACCACACGTTAAAAGTGGCCTTGACAATTAACGAGATCAGAGTGTCTTAATCTCTCCTAAAACAAATTCTATTGAAATGATTTGCTATTTTAAGAATCGTTTCCTTGGTATTTTTTCGTACTTGTTTGATTTTTTTTTTTTTTACTAACGTAAAATACCAACAGATCGATTTGAGCAATTCGAGGTGTCTTATATTTATTATTTAAATCTACTATACTTTAATAAAATTTAATAACCATCTAATGCGTGGTCGTTGATTGAAGAATCGATGATTATTTGTCTCTTCTTTTAGTTATTCTTCTCGTCTTCTCTTGTTTGATCCTAGATCAACGTGTAATTATTAGGACCTCCATTGAATCACAGTCCAGTCGTCTATATCATCGCCAGCTCCATTAATAATTGTATAGACGTTTTAGCTCAGCAGAAGTCGTTTAATAATTATTTTTCTTCTCTTTCTCCTCCTCCTTTTTCTTCCTAATAGTATTTTTTTGTACAGCAGAATTTAATTCCACTGCACAGTTGGCTGTCTGCCCTGAGTAATTCGGCCAATTCTCACAGTCAATATATATATATATATATATATATATATAGATATATGTACTTATATAATGAAAATTACAGTAGTACGTAGTAAAGTGTGAGGTCGTTAATCCCAATTGAATTGATGAATTCAGCGAATTTCATTACCATGGTCGCCAGACAGGTTCGTTGGGTTTCGCGACTTTTAGTAATCCTTGGTGAGTTTGTGTCGAGAAATTTGTTTCGCCTTCTGCTGATCGTCCAACTGGAGATGGCTGGCTGGAGGCTGGTGTCAATGGCATCGAGTATTCCGATGAATTCGAGGACTCGCTGCACACTGACGGCGAGGACTGAGGTGGTGGTGGGGTCGACACGTGAATAGTCAGAGGTCCGGTTTTGTCCATTGAGATGAGTTTGTGACCGAGGTGGGTCATCAGCTTGGTTCCCAGCGCTACGTCTACTCCGGGTGTTTCTGCAAGGCAGCGGCTGACTTCGTTGGCACAGTGAGTGTATCCAGCGCGGAATCGATCTGAGTCAAGCACAGGGTTAGCTGACAGGCGTTGTTGACGTTGGAGTTTGTGAAGGTGACGGACTGTCAATTCGAGGATGTCGGCTTTTTCGAGTTTTGCTACGTTTTCACCGTCACCAGCGAGCGCGGTCACCATCAGGTCCTTGAGCTCGTCGAGGCAACGATTGATGCGAGCTCTTCGTTTGCGTTCAAGCATTGGTTTCATAACCTGATTAACAAAAATGATAGTCACCATTAGTCACTGAATTTTCTTTAAATTTTATTTTGTAGTTTGAAAAAAAAAATTTAAAAAAATTAAAAATTTTAATTTAATTTAATTTTTGAAAGAAAAAAAATTTTTTTTTAAACGGATTAAGATCCTTACCTTTCTGTATTGATAAGTTCTGGAGATTGGTTGTTCTTGTCCATCGACAATCATCATTTGCTCGTGCATCTGCATCTTGTGTTGTTATTGTTGTTGTTGTTGTTGTTGTTGATAAATAAATTAATCCTTTGATTAGTCACTGAGAGTTGAACACAAAATAACACAAGTGTCCAAAAATTCACTGAATACTCAATCTATATTAAAGTGAGTTAATAGCGATTACGCGTTAACACTTAATAACGTGTAATTATTAGTGAATGAAAATAATTGTTAAATGTATACAGACTTCGACTTTAAACCGCGTGCGGTGGTAATATAAAATGTAAAGATTGCTTGTGAAGCGCACCGTACGAGAGTCAAAGTAGAAATGTGGAGATGAGGACGTAACAGGGATCCTTATATACGGGAGCACAAGTGAGCGCTGGTAGGGATAGAATAGAGGGGAAAGATATCGGGGTTGGTGATGGGGACGAGCCTTCCGTGGGAACGCGCCGTGGAGCTTGGTTCCCAAGCAAGCACACCACCTGTAAGCGGCAGCTGCCAGACACGCGCCCACACCAAGCCATCGTCACCGTTTTACTGTCTTTTTCTCTACTCCAGTATTACTGATACTTAAGTATCCTTCTTCTTTACTCTATATACATGTATAATATAATACTAACTGTTGGTTAAACGCGCAATGCACTGAGATAACTGCACTCAATACATACACTGAGGATAACTTTTTCTCTTTCTTTAACTTATTCAGTGATGTCATGGATACGTCGCTCCCAGTCTAGCCGCTTATATTCACAACTACGTGATATAAACCCATATCTCTGATTGTGAGTTTAGTTGCTACTCTTCGACCGTTCTCGTTAAAAACTTAAGCCTTTACCGGCACTCCAACCTCTGAACGGGTTTCTCTAGTCATAATTTTTATTTAACGACTTTCATTCTCAACACTTTTGAGTCATTTTCAGACAACTTTACTTTTTATCTTTTATTTAAAACCATTCTATCGGCTCTCTTCCTCTTGGAAACTTTTATCTTCTACAGATACATCCTTTGATTCGTGATATGTTACATTAATATCTAGTTATCATGACCATTAAATTTTTTATCAATTTGTAATTTCAACTCTGAGCTGCGATGAATCCCTCAGGCATCGACATGCTTATTTTTTTTATTTTTTTCATGAGGTAATAACTAATAAGTAAGTGCTACAAGAACTGGCTGTTGAATATTAGTTTTTTTTTTTGTTTCGTATCGAGCTTTCGTGATTGCGATCCTTCTGTACCTGGCCCGATTTGACTCAGATCGTATTAAGTGTGCAATGTTGAGCAGCACCAAGTTCGCTCTTGATTGTTCGTTATTCGCTCGGTCAGTTGCACTTTGAAATGCATTTTAACATACTGTAAGCGCTAGATAGGGATAAGTGACCATGCAATTCACTCGTTGTACGATTAATCATCTCAAGACGAGTGTCGCTTAATGACTAAGCCAGAGACCGGAGTGAGGTACAAGAGTCGCATGTGGATATGTGGATGTATATGTTGCATATTCTTATTACTTATTATATATTGCAGTACATGTATGTTGGCTAGCTCGAGTGTCGGTGTAGGAAGAAACCGCACGAGGCACGGCTCGTGGATAATATATATATATATATATATATATATATATATATACACTTATTATATGTATTTTTTTTATAATATAGATGTAGGTTTTATTTGCCTGCGCGTGATATCAATTGTAAGTCACGCGTGGATTATCCTTGGGAATTAAATTACCCCTTATTGACAATTATTTTACTAATTTTATAACAATACATGTTTATTTATACCGTATAAACTGCAGATTTATTTAGGTCGTAAGATAATTATTATATGTTGAGAAAAAAGTAAATTTGCTTATTTTAAATTACATTAATTTAATGTAATTTGAAAGCAATAAAAAGAATAATAATATATATTTTTATTATCTGCTTAGTAGTATTTAGTTAAATGAATTTTAATAACTGAAAAAAAAATCTGCGGATCTTGTATAATTATTTTTTACGATTATTTTTGGATTTTATAATATATACTCGCATTAAATTTTAATTAAAAGACATACACAGACGTATAAACATCGCGAGACTTGAAGAATGTATAAAAATGAGTAAAAAAACGTTTTAAAAATTACAACTTCGTGCATAAAGTAATCTTAAGTCCTGAGAAACGACTGGCAACCATTTCAGATGTTTTTAAAATGTTCTTCTCTGCCAGTATTTAGCTTTCAAGACACACACGCATACGTATATGTATATTCTTAGCAATCGTTTTTAAACTGGCAGCTTCCCGGAGAATTACACATCCTCTTATGTCTTTTTAATTTTTATATTTTTTTTATACCTCATCCCTAATATTTATTCCTTTTCGCCGCGTCCACGTCGTTTTCATTATGTAGTTTTTTTTTGTTTTTAGTTTACTTTTTTCAACCATCAACTTCTTTCTTGGTCTATCTATTCCCATTTATTTCTCCTCGACACCACGGCATTTAAAAGTCGTTTGCAAATATATAATTATAGCGAAACACTACTGGTACTTCCACTCTACTCGCATCTCTCGCGTTCGCTTATCTGGATCGTCTAGTAGCTTGATTGCTACTGCATTTTACTACTATCTTACCTCTGGCGTTTAATTTACGATATTAAACCGCAATTTTAATACATTATTATTTATTTTTTTAATTCTTTTTTTACAATTCTGCATTTATTATTGTCAACTTTTTTTTACCGAAGATCATTCAAGATACTTATAGATGATTAAATCACGGATAAAAAAAAATATATTAATAATAATAAAAATATGCATTTATATTATGCTCCTCGACGCTTGATATGGTAAGCTCAAAGTCTTATAATGTACCGAACATAATCGTTGATTATCTTCCCGTAATTTCCTATTCGATAATAACAATAATGATGATGTATTGACGAAGAAGAATTCAGTTCATTAAAATGATACACTGATGGGTGGAATAATAGTAAATGCGGGATGAGGATGCGCACGTGTCCAAAAATTTACGCGTCAATTTGCTCACACGTGCGTCTCTCTTATTCGAAATCACTCGGGAGGATTCTGTATAGATAAATAATAAAAATAACGTATAAAAAAATAAAACTAAAGAGAGAGATCAATCCAAGTCGAATTTGCAAGAGGTATATTGAACCGAAAAGCTCTCGTGGGGCCAGTTAATGTTAGGACACGTGTACATTGAAATTTTTCTTGGATAGGGAGTAGAGCTCGTGATATAGGACTGTATATATTTAGCTGAAAAATCACGTATTCGTTATAGAGCCCTTGGTCAAGTCTAGAGTATAGAGCACATATAGTATTATGTATATGGAGAAAAAGAAACGCGACAGCACGTGCCGTGGGTTTAACACGTGGCGTGAATTACATCGTGGTACAATCAGACGGAAGGAAATAACTCAACCCGTGTGTGTTGCTTATCAGTAAGAACACTTGGTTCAACTTGGCCTCGTTCAATATGTGTAATACGACAGAAATAGTGAGAGAGAGAGAGAGGAAAAGAATGCTTGTATACGTGCATGTTATATACGTACTTAGTGTGTAGTATGTGGTGTAGTGCCCAAGCGTGTTATGTATTATTCATGAATGGATTTGATTAAAAAAATAGAAACTACGTTTCAAGTCTACGCTAATTTTAATATCACGTTAGATTTTGTTTTGTTAATATTACTCCGATTTATCATATAATTTATTGAAACGTTTTTTTTTTGTCCAAAAAAATTTCAAGTACTCAAGTGTAAAATTAAAATTTAACAGCGATGATCACAAAAAAGGCTGTAATTTTAGTTTTTAATAAGTAAAGTATTCGGTAAATTACCGTAGCGTGTTGTCGGCTGCTGACGTTCCTGCGAATTTCCTCACATACCTTTTCTGGTTAAATCCCCGTCGACCGTATGTGTATATACGCTTTTTTTTTGTCTATTAAATACTTTCCCATGTGCCGATCTCAATTGCACACCCGGGCACATGCTTGAGGGGCCTTATTAGTACATCAGCTGTCCCGAGAACATATGTCACATCGTGGCACGAGCCACGAAATCATTTTGAGCCCCCCTGCATATTCTTACTTTTTCCCCTACCCTTTAAATCCATTTACTTATACATACACATGCTCGCGAGCATATATTATATTTATATTGTAAACATAGTATCTCCATAACTGTATAATTTACCCCTCTAAAAGTCCACCTCTAGTATCATCCCCTTACTTTTATTATTATCATTACTATTACATTTTTTCTGACCATCATATTATACGTATAAACCGCTAGTATTTCTATTTCTATTCTCCCCTGTACTGACTCGTAATATTAGTTCGCACGCGTCACTTTATCCACTACAAGAGTTATACAGGAATAATAATGCGGGTCTTAAGAGAGAGTAGACTACTAAGCAATATATACATATATAACAGACAATACAATCGTCGAGTTGACACGGTATGTAAACCAGACCGGGTGTTGAGGGGAAAACAAGGTGGGTTTAATGTTCAAACCCTAAAAAGACAAATGACATTTACAAATGGAATTACTGATGTTGATTGCAAACGAAACAAAACCACGTGCGTTATTTCCGTGAGAACTGATTTAAAAATACCGGATATCCAGGTTACTCTTGTTCCGCCCTCATACTTGTCATCGTCTTGGATTTTATTATTGCTCCTTTTAATAAAAAATATAATAATAATTACAATAATACTGGCTACATTGCACACATCGGATATTAAATAAATTTAACTATTTTATTTAACAAACAATACACATTCAAACAATGTACATTGTACAATGAACTCGAGCTCTGTTGTATCGATCTAATATGCAATTCAAGTTACCTGGCGACATTTGCTAAAGGACAAGGGTCATACGATTTACGTATTTATTTATTTTTACCTTACATTTATTTATTATATCAACGTATACTTTGTATCACCGATATATTTATTGATAATGCTTGACAACAAATATTTAATATATACAATATATAATATATAATATATTTGAAACGCGTTACTTACAAATAAATGCAAATTGCATTCTTGGTAATGTAATAATATAAATAATAATGTTATCATTATTACACAGCGAGTTTAGCAGTAAGCAGTGTGATGTGAATGAATGAAGCGCTGATTAGTTGATTCTTAGGTATCGTGTGACTTTAACCAATTGACTCGGATAGAAATAGACTAGAGCATGTATGTATGTAGTATATATTATATAAAGAGAGTTGAATAAAATATGGGTAATAGATATCACTGTTTCACTAATGTAATGTAAGAGATTCAAATGACCCGGTACAATGTACTCCATCTGTTAATATACTTATATGTATGTGAGAGCTGCCTGTATATGTGTATATATGTATATATGCAGTATTAAAAGATATATAAACATAATGCAAGAAGTCGGGTTTTTCTCACGAAGTCGAGTTCACCTGACGTAAGTGCAAAATGAGCTGAGAAAAGAGACAACTGAACAGTTATACTGTTAACTCACATATTCCTATTGGTATTATTATTGGCAATGCGCTATTCCAGTATTTCTTGAAAATAACTCAAGTTAATATATTGTTGCTGTCAAGTACTGGGATACATATATATTTATGTATGTTTTATGATCATTATTATTATCATTATCATCACCATTATGTAGAGACTCTCACTTGTGTACTGTATTACATTGAATGTGGCTTTTAATCGTACGGCGCCTCGTTCTCGGCACGTGCTTATATACTATATACCGATCCTATCAACTTATATTCTTCTATATACACTCGTATGTATAAATAAATAGATATATACTATTTATAAGCGCAGGCAAATAATTCTCAACAATAGATCCTTTAGATAAAACTTTTAGAGTGATGAATTAACTTTTACTCTCCTCTTTGCTCGGCTACAGTTACATTATACATATCTATCTTATATTTTTTAAAGTATTCTATTATTTATACTTAAATTTGTTATTATTTATTATTTATATAAAACAATTCCCTTCTTAGTCTACGACGGAATGAATACTTGTAATTTATAAACATGATACATTTATAAAAATAAAATGAATAAGCAACGTACATATCATAAGTATCAGAAAACACGCAACTCGCAAGTGTTTGCGTTTTTAATAATTCATTGTGTTCAAATATGTACTAAAGTACAACAGACGATATTCTACGAATGCGGTATAACCCAATACAAGTGACGGTTGTTTTTTATTGATTACGAATTTCATTATTTATTTTTCTCTTGGAAACCCATTGGCTTGAGTATGTATATAGAGGATAAGAAAATAGCTTCGACAAGTTGGCCTTCGTAATCGACGTGACCGTCCTTCTCATTTATTTCCTATTCATAGGTAATTATTTTATTTTTTTTATTTTCTTCAGTTACTTATTTTTTGGGCTTCCAGAAAATTTCTTCAAAACAAGACATATTTTCATTTTTATTATTAAAATTTTATTTAAATTCAATATTAAGAACTTTATTTTTTGGGAACCCAATACTTTAAAAATATTCATATTTATATTGAAATGAAGATTCGTTTTCAGTGACAATCCTCTGAGAAGATTGAGGTACGTCCCGTTTCCACAAGTAGCATCGCTGATGCAAAAACCACCACCGAGTGATGCTACATCACCGGTGTCATTTCCTCTGCAACTACCACCACCTAATCCAGGTCTCTATCACTCGGCGACGGTCGCACTGGGACAACAGCCTCCGTTGTTTCAGATATTGATGTCTGCCGAAAAATGCCAGGTATTTATCAAACAATTGCTTATTGTTCATTAAAACACGGTGACTGTGTTGATTATTTATTGATAAAAGGAGTTTGTATGGGACACTCGATTGCAGCCGGACGAGACACTAGACCGATTGGAGACTGAAGCGAGTCACAGTCCTACAAGACCGCTGCCCAATTTCAGTCCTACTTGGGAAATACTTCAGGTAATTTATTTATTGATTTAATTTATAATAATAAATCTTAACTTGAAAAAAATATTTGTGAATTACAGGAAACGACGGCGAGACTATTATTCATGGCAGTAAAATGGGTCCGATGTTTAGTACCCTTTCAAACTTTATTCAAAGATGACCAACTTGGTCTGCTGCAGCAAACTTGGACGCAGTTGTTTCTTTTACATCTGGCCCAGTGGTCAGTTTCTTGGGACATCACGGCATTACTAGATGATGAACAAGTTCGCAGAAGGCTTCCTGATGAAACTTCAAGACAAGAACTTAATACTATACAAGTAATTTTTTATTACTTTTTATGGTAATTATTTACAAGTGGGGTCAACCCCATTCTGGGCCATGTTATTTATTTTTTTATTTTACTTATTTAAATTAATTTAATGCCAAGGCATTGGCCGAATGGCAAACATATACATAGTAATTTCATTAAAGTACTCGCACTGAAAAAAAAATTAACTTGATTCAAGAGAAAAATTCTTGAACCAAGAATATAATTTTGAAGAGGGTAATTATCTTGAATCAAGACGAAAAATTCTTAAATCAAGTAAAATTTTTTTAAGTCAAGAAAAATTTCCTTAAATCAAGAATTTTTCTACTCAAATCAAGAATATTAAGTTCTTCAAATTTATATACTTGATTCAAGAACATTTTTTTTTTTCTGTGCGTAAGAGATTGAGTATTTAATTTATACCGTAATTCTAAATTTTATAAGAAGAACAAGGAAAAAGTTATACGTGAAATAATTGTAGTAAGCATTAGCCCTTGTTAAGTACCAATAGATAATTCGACATTAGTGTACAAATATTTTGAAGAAAATATAAATCAGAATATAAATCGGCTCATGTTACATTTCCTTACATAGCAAAATTATAAAATTTTTTTTCTGATAAATTTTTTTTTTTTAAATGTTCGTTTTTTATATACTTTCCAAAAAAAAAATATATATCAAAAAAGATACAATAAATAATTTTATCCAAAAAATGAAAGCTAATAACTTTTCCAACTTTTAAAGGCAAAAAGCGATCAAAATCTTCATTTTTTACTTTCACGACATTTCTCATAATAAATGCGCCGTAAAACCAAGCAGAATAAAAAAAAAATTAAAAAATGTTGATTTTTCACGTACTTATCGCCCAAAATGAGATTGACCCCACTTGTAAATAATTACCCTTTTTATATATCAATGTATGAAATTTATTTTCAATATTATCTATCATCAATTTTTAGGACATCATGTCACGGTTTCGTCAATTGTCGCCTGATGGTGGAGAATGCGGTTGCATGAAAGCCATTGTTTTATTCAGGCCAGGTATTTATTTACAAAATTCAGGTGTAAGTTTAAATTATTTATTTATTTATTTATGGATAATTTTCCACAGAAACTAAAGGACTGACAGACCCGAAGCCCGTTGAAATGCTTCAAGATCAAGCCCAATGTATCCTAAATGACTACATAAGGTCACGTTATCCCCGACAACCGGAGCGTTTCGGTAGATTTCTATTATCTCTACCCATGCTACATGTCGTGAAACCATCGACTGTTGAATTATTGTTTTTCCGCGAGACTATTGGGGAAATACCAATCGCGCGTTTACTTGGTGACATGTATCAAATGGACCATCATTCAGAAGGTAAATTATTAAACTTGTAAATTTTTTTTAAATTATTAATAAAGATTAAAAAATTAATTTCTGTTTACATAGAATACAAACAGGACCCGGATTTTAGCATGATGAATCTGCAAAAAGCGACGGATTTAAAAAAGTAAAATAGAAAAATTAAAAATAAAATTTAGCTTCATAAATTTAATTGTCTAGAAAAATTTTTAATTAAATTTATGAGGGTAAAATTTTCTTAAATGCAATTTTTTTTTCCTTTATGTATAAAATTAAAAAAAAAAACTTTGAATTGATTAATAATAATTTATAAAAATCAGAATCTAGTCAGTAAATCTTTGTGATTGCTGTGTAAGTAACATATCTTATTGATAATTTTGTAAGTAGCGTTACTGTAAATTATAAATTAAAATGTAAAATTAATAATATGTATTTACCAAGATACGTTACTTAAATATAGATGTAATTATAATTACTAATTACTAATTAATTATTTATTATTGTAATATTACTACACACTACCTAGGAATATTATTATTATTATATTTAAAGCATCATCTGTGATATATCATATCATTTTATTATTAACATAATTTTTTTCATTTAAATTTACACACAATATTTAATAACATCTGTTTTTTTTAGCAAGTCTGGCTTTGATTGACAAATTAATCATTACATTAGTTAATATTTATATAGATGGTATCAAATATAGATTAGGTTGATTATTATTATTAGTTATTAAATAGAAAGAAATTAATGTAGATTGCCTCGTTTGTTCACATACAAATACCTATCGATGTAAATGTTAATTACAATAAAGATTAATCTATCACAATAATAATTATAATTTGTCAAGTACATAATGATTTCGGGTTACTAAATTCATTCTACCATGTATTTGCACAATATCATACAAACTAAAATCACAATTGATTTAATGTTGATATTCAAGTCTACTAAATATTATAATTAAATGCATACTTTTATTGTTGACAATATCATTCACTGGGATATTTTTTTTTCGTTATACTTAGTTTGAAATATTATGATTATTTATTACACAATTTATAATTGCTTATTATTTAAATTGTCGAAATTATTAGTTAATAATTTCAACAATTATTTTAATTTTTATCAATAAAATAATTATCAATGAAAGTAATTAAAAAATTTGTATTTTATATTTTTTTGTTCGTTAAAAAATAAATGTTTGTTACTGGGAATCCCCACTGGTCTGTATCGTTTGACTGATATGGAATGATAATACAATAACGTTTAAAATATTGTATTGCTCATTAAGTAATTTATGTCTATTGATAATTTCGGAAGCACAATATTAAATAACTATTTTACATCGACAATATGTGTTTGTTTGAAAATTATTTCAACACAATTCTAACTTCTAAAAAACATTAAAAAATTCTCAAACTTATATTTAATATTAATGATAATTAATTTGTAAAATGAAAACCTCTAAGTTATTGTGGAAGTTGATTGATTAAAACCTGTAATAAAAATCACAACAATCAATTTTAAAAATATTAAATGCAATTACAATTCATCGTGAGATTGTAAACGCTCAACGACAAAATCATGAAGGTCGTCGAGCGTACGAGATCCATTGTACTCATCAATCTTCTGTCCGTTTTTGTACAACAGAAGCGTCGGGAATCCGTCGACTTCTTGATCGTCGCACAATTGCTTGTTGGTCGACAGAGTGCAGTCAACTTTAACGATATGGACATTGGGGTTGTCGATGAATTTTTTACCCAAATCCTCCCAGGTTGGGGCCAAACGCTTGCAATGTCCACACCAGGGTGCAAAGAACTTGATAAAGGTGACTCCTTTTTCAATTCCGTGCTCAAAAGTCTCACCAGTGAGGTTCAATACCGACTGAATGTTATCGTTTACAGCTTCATCGCTCTCGTCAACTTTGTCGGTGCTCTTTTGTAGCATTTTAGCAACGTACTCTTTGAGCTCCTCATGGCTGCGACCGCCTGAGTATTTGTCTATTTTCTTACCGTTCTCAATCCACAGCAATGTCGGGTATCCTTTGATATCAAACTGCTCGCAAACGGAGCGGTACTGCGTGCAGTCAACCTTGGCGATATTCACTAATGTGTCATGGCTGTTGCTTTTGGCAAGCTCGTCCCATGTTGGTGCTAGTTTTTGGCAGTGACCACACCATGGTGCGTAGAATTTAACAAAGTGATAACCTTTAGCTACATGATCGTTGAATGTTGCATCTGTTAATTCGATCAGACCATTAACCGGGTCTGGGATTGTTGAGTCTAACTCAGCATCCTGTAAACACAAATTGATTATTTATTTGAAAAGTTATTAGTCTTGTTTTTTTTTTTTTGTGCTAGCTTCTTTGAATTTTAAATTAGTAAATTTAAAAAGTGAAATTTTCTTTTTAATAAATTCAACAATTTTACTAGCAACCTTGCAGTCACTATGTGACTGCCGTGACTTGTGAACTATAAATAAATAAAATTTTGTTTTATTAAATAATGATTTTTGTTAAATTGCACTGTACTTTTTTTACTAATGACATTTTTAAAGATAATAAGCTCATCCCGACGTTACACTCATTAAGAGCTTTCATTTGAGTACCCACACGCATTTTGATATATTTTTTATATATACATATATATATAATATATATAAATATATGAAAAATTGATGTGGGTACTCAAATGAAAGGTCTTGATGAGTGTAACATCGGGATGAGCTTATATCTTTAAAAATGTCAATAGTTCACAAGATACAGTGCAATTTAACAAATAT